CTACCTGAAAGGACAAACTGACCTGTCTTGGAAGAAGTTCGACCAGAGTGTTCCTTGGAAGCAAAGATTGTGAAGGCTCGTCTTACAGAGTGTGGGCAGACTGTGAGTACAGAACAGTCCCTAGAGGACATAGTGCTCCGTAAAGGAGAGGGGCAGGAACAGAGAGGCAAACTTGCAAGGAGATGGATGGAAAATGTCGCTGCAACAAGTGGCTGACGCACAGGAATCGTTGCGAGGATGGGGCAGAACTGGGCAGCTTCATTCTGTTGGGCACAGGGTCATTGTGAGTGGGAACATTATTGGTGGTGCCTAACAACATCCTGGCTCTTGGTTTCGCTGTGTCCATCACTCTGCTGCTCATCCCCTCTCAGCTCTCTGTCTCCTGGATCCAGGAGGTTCAGTGTTCAGGGGTCTCCAGGTCCAAAGGATGTACTCTACTTCTTGTTCCTCTTTCCAGAGGGTAGTCGGTCTCCCCTTGCCTGCTACTTTGATGCCAAATTATATACCCAACGAGATGGCAGAATTGATGAGCCATATTAGAGTTACACTTTTTTACAATTACAATTAACCCTGTTAACACTCACATCTCATAAAATGGCATAACCTTATCAGCATTTTTCCCCGCCTTCTTTTATTCAGACCTATCAGGAAAAGAGGAACCATGCCATCAGCATGGTCCCAAGTAATTGGTTGGAGGGAATGACGAGATCTATGGCTAAAAGCGTAACATCAAATTAATTACTGCACCTTAAGGGAGAAAAATTTTTCTTTCCTATTATGTATAAAATTCACATATGCATAGCTATTTACTGAATAAAACTAGAAACAAATAGAAATAGTTTTTTTTTAAAAAGAAGAAGGAACAGGTAAAAAAATCCAGCTATCTGGAAATACTTTCTCTTACATAATCTAGCCAATGTGATGGCATTTACTCTAGACTGTGTTGTGAAGCAGTTGTTGTTTCATTGTTTTATGATGAGCATGCAAATAGATTTTCATGTACAACGTTTTGTTCATTCCTCTGCATAGATTTTCATGTACAATATTTTGTTCATTACTCTGCACCTCAGTTGCAGGAATATATCTGGTGATATTAAAACATGAATATTATATTCTAGAAGAAAGTAATTAGTTCCATATATACTCGTGTATACGCTGAGTTTTTCAGCACATTCTTAATGCAGTTTTTGTGGTAAAATTAGGTGCCTCAGCTGGCTGACATTTGGGTCAACTTATATTCAAGTATATATAATAATAAGATTGTTCAAAGGGCACTTGGTACATATGTGCCATATATTAAAAATGGAGAAGGTAAGATTTATATTTAAACATAGGATTAACGCAAATTCCACCATTTATCAGTGGTGCCTTTGAGTAAGTTTCCTGGGAAGCCTCAAGTTTATGATTTGAGCCCCATATGCTGCTTGTGCTAACCTACAAAACATGCACAGTTTTACTGTAGGCAGCACTCCGTGTTTGCTTTTGCTTTGAGAACCAATAATCACCCATTGTATGTGGGGAAACGAATGCTTTAAAGGAAATTGACTGCCAGGTTTCAAGGTGACATAAGTAGGGAAAGGTTGCTTCCATAAACAGAGAGCTCAAGGTTATGAACAGATTTGTGGTAAAGCCCTTATTAAGCTAACCATGCACATGAGCACCCACCCAAGGCTGCAGTAACATTCTCAGATACAGTGTTTGAAAACCGGCCTAATAAATGGCAGTACTTCACTGATTACCTGCATATGTCAGATGATCTAGACTCCCTCCTTCCCCTTGACTAGCAATGCACAAAGTGTTTTCCTGGTGACCTCCATGGATTAAATGAAGTTTCCTAATGAGTTTAGCTTAGAATTCCTTGAGTCACTACATCACAAAGGAACCTGGGTGAGGCATCTCAAGAGTTAAACAAGGTTTTACATTTATATGGAACCTTCAATAATAAGGCCAAGTTCACATATTCGATTCATATAGTTTGAACTGTCTTTCCTAGCTATCTGAGGAATACGCAACTAGGATAAATAAAATTGCCAGCAAGGAAACCTGGGACAGATTACAGAATGAACACAAGCCCGTTCCTTTATTTGAAAAGCAGTCATTATACAGGATATAAGTCAGGCTGTATTGCTACAAAATCATAGAAACCTTTACTTTAAAAAAAAAACCAAAAAGCTATCAGAATGTGAAGTGGCTGCTCTTCAGCATAGCATCCACCAAGATCTTCACACTTCTGAAGGTAGTACTTTCAGCTCTCCACACCTTTCTGGAAGAAGTCTGCAATCTACAACTTATCCCACCACAGAACAGCAGTCTTGGCACCCTCTAGACCTCCTCTGAAATCTCCTTCGTTGTGTTCCTCTAAAATCTCCTCTGAGTGGGGGGAACAAAAGGAAGTCTGAAGGAACAGCGGCTTTGAATTTAACAGGTCTGGCAGATCCCCACAGGAACCACTATTGTATTGCATCTTTTTTTGGAGGCTTCCTGGTGCATCTAAGACAAGTATTTTACTGGGAGAACTTGTCTGCAGTCACCTACTGCTTGCAGCGACATGTTCCAACAAGGTTGGAATGTGGAAATCATACTTTTACCTATCCTTGCATATCGACAGAACCACTGTCTTCAGTAGTATTGATACAAGATGCTTCTGAGGATTTTAGATTTTTGTTCTTGCTACAAAATATGTTCTTTGTCAAAGTTCTTAAAAAATAGTGTCGATTCTATTCATTACCTAGACTTTATACAATATTAACATTGTCACTTTGTCCCAGAATGGCTTCTCCGGACCAAATCGACCATTGATTGGGAAAGCATTTACCAAAATATTCATTGAACTGACTTGCTCCAAATATATTCATTGGTATCCTTTGACGTCAAGAGGAGAATTTTACACTGGATATTGAAATGTGGCTTATTGTAGCATGTAGTTCATGATTTAAATATTAAAGTCTCAACATCAAAGCGTCAATCATCCACAATTCTTCAGAGTCCAAGCTAACTTAAGAGTAGCTGTGTTTTTTTATTTTTCTTGATTTTAAAGTCAAACACTACGCAATTTCCACAATTTAGCCATTCACGGCAAATATGTGAGAAGATCTAACATTTAATATTTAACATTTCAAATCTATTTCCTCATAAACTTACCAAATTAAAAAAAATCCGGTAACTTCTCCTCTTTCAAAGTTATAATAGTACATTGGGACATTGATTTGTGGAGGGGCTATATGAGGGGATCTCCCTCCCCCACCAAAATAAAAAACACAGGGAAACAGCTCCACTGGGCAGAGCTTTCATAGCACAAAATTTTCCAACTTGGTAAGCATAACACACCTCGCTCTGAGTTAGTGCACCCAGTGGCGTTGCCTGGGGAAGGTTCTCTCTGGACACACTGAATTTTTATTGAAAGCAGTTTCCCTCAAACCTCCTGTTTTATTTTTTGGATGGGTGATTTAAGAGAACAGTGTGAGGCTGTGAAATTTTCTTTCCACGAGTGAAGAAGGACATGAAAGTGCAGCAATTTGAGAGGGGAAGAGGTGAAGGGAAAAACTAGGGGTACTGTCAGTCATCCACACAGATGAGTCTGAAAACTGTTTCCAAGAATGGGCTCTCAGATTTGACAAATACATTAAGTGTAATGGAGAGTACTTGCAAGGTGAGAAGGTTTTTTTTTTATATAGAAAACAATTTTCGCTTTGAAAAAAATCACTTTTTGTAATTTGATATTTTTTGTAAAGTTATACCTCTTATTAGCCTTCCACAGTTATAATATACATCTGAAATAACCATACTAAAAAGACAGAATTGTGGCAAATCAAAATTTATGAATTGTGAAGATGAAAATATGCAAATATTAAAAGTGCTCTCTCACATAGTATACGTAACACTTTAGCGATGATGGACACTACTGCCCTGATCAATTTCAACTCAAACTAAAGTTTATAAAATAATGACACAAGATTTCCATTAAATATATCCATTTGCTTATTAGAGACTGACATCTTGGGTGCCTGCTGAGATAACTACATCATTGTTTTATAAACAAGTGTGATTTGGTCCCTATCTTCGCGAATTAAATTGCTTATTCTTTTTATGCTTTCCATAAATTAAGTTTAATTTTTAGGCACTAGCATACTTAATTAAAATATTAGAGAAGAGTGGCCTATAAATGAGATGGTCTGTATTAGATAAAAAGGTAAAACTTCTTTTATATATCAAAAGCAATCTACTCTATCTATTGTAAAGAGGGGAAAATATTACATTCAGATGAATAGAAGGGCAAAGATTATTAACTGGCCAAACCAATGATGGTCAGAAAAGCAGAAGAGTCTAGAAATGAAACGCTAGCATCCTTTCTTACTGCTGCACTAAAATCTACAAAGTCACTGAGGAGTTGGTTGGTTGGTTGTCCATTGTATTACAAATGCCAGCTGTAAAAATAATAAAACCAAACATTGACTTCAGGGAATCTCGGAGGTATCTTTTTGTGAGACCAGAACAAGCCAATATGCAACATATTCACATATAATTTTAACTTTGTAATAGGCTTTCCAGTTTGTAACACTTCAGTGAAAAAGGAAAGCCATAAAGTGAGAAAAAAATATCCCTAAATACATTGCCAAATCTGAAGCACAAAGATGCATGATAGGTATGCAGGTTGGATAAATAGGTAGGTAGATCCACCATCTAAATTCCAGACACCACACCAAGAATTATCCGATTATCTCGGTAAATGATATTGATCTAAATCGACCACCTCCTTAAGATCACACAATTAATGACCATGCAGAAAAAGCACATAGAAAGCAGTTAGCTTAATGGTTACAGGGTAAGTCTTACAGATAAACTATCTTCGGAACTGGTTTCTCTCAGATATACAATGACATTTATTTATAATTACCTTTGAAATATAACCACAATTAAAATATTATCCACAAACACCACTAGTTTCATTTAACTTAGGCAAAATTCAAAATCAGTACAATCTCTAAAAATCATATCCATACCATTGATCCACCGTGCTTCTGGGTCGTGAAGCAGAAAGTCTTTCCTGAAGAGGTCTTCTAAAGACAGTCTAGTTTCTGATGAATTTGTGAGTTCATCTATAATAAAAGAAACTGTAGATTAGAGAGTCTATTTCACATGAGTTTTTATAAGGGATACATTGAAATGTTGTCATATTTTGCTTTACAGATATGTTAATTAGACAAATACGTGAAGTGCTTTTTTAAATGGCTGTTGGAATTTCAGGTTTGTCTCTTTAGTCAAGTCCATTGTTTTAATTAATTGTGATATTTCATTAACCTTTCATTTAATTTAATTTAGCATGAATACCTTTAACGGTTCAATCCTATGTTTTGTAGTGTTATATACCATATATAACATTAAAGCAAAAGCCCATCCCCATTAAGTCAATTCAGACTCCTAATAGAACAGCTCCCTAGCCTTTCTGAGACTGGACAACCTGATGGCACCTGACAGCTTCCCGTTTTCCATGGAGTAGCTGCTGAATTTGAACCACCAACCTTTTGGCTTGCAGCCCAACATTTCACCCACTGCACCACAGGAATTCCTCTTGTACTTCTAGGCAAGAGCGCATACGTTTCACTCCTCTCTTCTTTCCAAAACCACTTTGATATTTTCTCTCTTTCTCTTTTTTAACTTCTTGTGAATTGGATAAAGATTGTGACAGCAGATCATTAGTTTAATTGTCAACTCTTCATACACGTTCTGTTTCATCACATCCACTGCGACCCGTCAACGTAACATCACGTGTCCCATTCCACCCTGTTTCCTATTTCCACTCTTCCTTCTTTGCTTACTGTGGGCATTACATGGTTTCATATCAACCTGATGCATAGAGGAAGTTAGCCTGCCAATCAGGTCACAGCATGATGATGACTGCTAATGAGTGCGACTTTCTAATGGGTTTCTGGGAACTTTCTTTCTCCATGCATGTAGGCCATGCACTCTCTGCTTCACCTTTCTGATGAGGAGACAGACACACACTCTCTCTGTTGTCTTCTTCTTTCTGTGGACAAGCCGTGTGGAGCTAAGCTGAGTCCCGAGCGAGTCATGTGTGGATACGTGTGGAGACAGCCCTGAGATGCTTCCACTGTCATTGGATCCACATGAGTTTTCACCCACCGGCCTGGGATTTTCCTACATTCGCATCATTACGAGTGGCAACATTAAGTCTGAAGAGGAATTTATGGACTAGGATTGGGCATATGGGTTAATATCGAATTTATGGACTTGATCTGGACTGGGCTGAGATGTTTTCTCAGTATACAATGGCTCTTTGTTTGATATAAAGCTCTCACCCACACATATGTGAGTGTCTCTGGATTTGTTTCTCTCGTGAAGCTGGACTAGCACACTTACCCTGCAGAACTTTATCCTTGTGTAAAAGTTGCCTGTTTGTTCTCAAATGGTTGATGTTTTCAGTTTGACTCTATTGTTAAAACATGTGATAGAAATGAATATATATAATAAAGAAAACTTCCGGAGACAGGGGAAGTGACTGAATAAAGAAAACAAATAAAAGTATCAAATAAAATAAAAGTACCAAATTTCACCAAATCATCACTCCTCAACAAATGCAGAGTGGGTTTATGAATTAAATTTAAGAATTAAATGTAGAATTCAAATGATAAAAGTCTTTGTATTTTTAAGGGAACGCGCGCGCGCGCGCGCGCGCGCGCACACACACACACACCCACCAAACAAATCCACTGTCATCATGTCAATTTCCGTTCATAGCTGCTTCCATATCCATCCCTGAGAAACGAGAACCATTCTACACCTGTAGGCACACTCAGGCTCCAAAATTTAAGAAAGGGAAGCTTGGTTGGGATGCCAAAAGAAAGCACGAGAAACACACCCTTTTAGAGATAAGAGGCGATAGACATCAATATTTAAGTTTTTTTGCAAAATAATTGCATTGTTTATTTGCTGTGCAAAGTCATCTTTTTGACCTTTCAGTTGTGACCTCCACTGGGTCAAAAATAAAATGTCAAGGATACTCACTAACCTCATTAGATTTTGTTTATCAAAGGTTCGGCACAGTGCAGCAAGTGCTTTGCTTTTTCCAGCTAAAATGTTGGCACAAAAGAATCAATATATCTTCAAACGCAATTCCATTTTCACATGAATCAAACAGATACTTAACCACAAAATAACTTCTAAGAAACCACTGGAGTGTGGGAATCTAGTGACAATGGTGAGAACTATTTATTCCAGGCTCAGCATTAGATATTTTTATTATCGATTGGAAATGCAAAATGCTACGTTAGCCAGTGATAAACACTTAATCATTTGCCCAACAACTACACAGACATACCAAAAACTAAATTTAGTTTATCTATTCAACAATATTGGGCCTTTCAGCTTTCAAGGCATTCTGTGAACTACTGTAAAGTCCACGAGACTTGCCTCCTAGGGGGCTTATACTCTAATAGAAGAAAAAATTGGTGTCAGAAGACGATGCAGATTATATACAAGTTCATAGAAAGAATATAAATATCTTATTAAAAGATAGGGAGACACTCTCTTTTAAACATAAAATGGCAAGCACTTAATAGATTTCAATGTTTCCAAAGGCAGAGAAAAATGTCATGTTAGATGTGAGCTGAAAAATTCACAGCTGGACAAAAAACAAACAAACAAACAAAAACTTCTCTGCCTCTGAAATTTATTTTGCTTCAGAGAAAGTTTGAGATTTTCAGATGACCTAATACTGTTACAATTTCAGAAGTTGATTTATTCCATGACATATCATTAAGAGTAGATTTGGTGTACAAATTTCAAAAGAAAGATTTTTCTTGGATTTCTAGAAAAACATATTCCCTTATCTCTATTTGCTATGCCACCTACCTCCAGTTCACTACACTGGTGGCTTGCCTGTTGCTACTATACCAGAAGCTATGCCACTGGTTATTCAAACACTATAGCCATCCCCTTTGATGCAAGGAGCTTCCAAATTAAAACATATTAAAAGGCAAAGCCAAGCTATCTGCTTCTAAAAGTGATACAATAAAAACTCTATGGATCATAACAGAACATTGTCTGATATGGGATGTACCACACTAACAAGAGTAATGTTTGAGATATATGTTTTGATCAACTGAAATTCATATTGGTAAAGGTGGTACATAGTGGTCTCATTGTAGGATGGGGCTTCAAAAAGTTTGTGGAAAACTAAGATTGTCCCACAAACTCTTGAAGCCTCTTTGTATTTACTTTGAAGACCAGAGCATATGATGTTAACGTAATATCTCAAATAAATAATTCTTGTCTTCTCACAGTTTCCAAGGTTATACATCTTCATGGAAACTGATTGTCATATCTTTTTCCCATTGAGGAGCTGAAGATTTCAACTTGTTGACTTTTCGGTTGGCAATCGAGAAGGTCCCTATGTTCAATACCTCTCAATAGCTACTGAACTGAGAGAGAAAACTGCAGTATGTATATGACGTTGACTAGCATTCACTGGGTAGATTCATTCAGACTTACTATGCCATAGGTTACCAAACTTATTTGGTTTACCACACTCCTTTTCAGAAAAAGAAAAACAAAATCCCAGTGCCCCCTACAAAAGACGATCATCCAGGATACAGTGCAGGTGTAAACTTTTACAGCTCTCTGGATTGTCCCAATGCCCTCCAGTGAACAGTATCACCCCTTCATGAGACAAAGGTCTTTGTGTGGTGAATAGAATGGCCCTATGGGAGTTTGGTTTGGTTTGGTTTTGAAGCTTTGATTGTGTTTTAACGTTTTTATTGTGAATTAGGTAAAAGGTCACAGAGCAGATCATCTGGTTTACATTCAACATCTTGTTTCATTTTCTCTTATTTTAACTCAGTGGCAATCCCCTCAATGTACCATCACTTGAAAACCACAAGGATGTGAGGATTGTAGCCTCCTAGAAGTACACACCATACCTAACGTGTCCTCTGAGGTAGGACGAGGTAGGTTCAAACTACCCATATTGGGGCTACAACGTGAGCAGACAACTATGTGTGTCACTCCCCAAATCATGTATTCTAGATGGGTGGTCCTCACATACCTGTCTTTGTTGCTCTTTCACAAATGCTTTTTTCTATTCCGACATGAATTACACATACTTTGCACTCAATCTTATATTCACATTATGATAGGTAGGTTGATTGTGCCAACATGGCCAATGAACACATGGGGGATTAATTGAAGGGCAGAGAGGTAAATGGCTCGGCGAACCTCGCCTTTCTTGTCTTTTGCTCTTTGATCATCAGACCAGTGTGCGGTTGCCTTGCTTGTTCTGTGCCTCCATGTGCAAGCTACACTACCTGTGGGACACCTAACCCGTGGACTGTGTTGCTGTAATTTGAGGTTCCTTCAAGACTTGCTTCGCTCCACCATTGGAACTTACATCTCTTGAGCTGGGGACTCTCGTACCCTGACATCTGGCTGACTGTTGGTGACCTGCCTTGCTGTTTGCTGCCTGTGCCCGGATAGCCTGAATTGCTCTACAGAGGACTACCTGGTGGCCCTCAAGACTTGAAGGACTGCCAGTGTCTCACAGCTGTCTCATGGGAGTGAGTTGCACTGAGCTATTTGTACTGTTTTATAGATTAGTTAACTGTTTATTTTTTAAGTTATCTATATCTATCAATATAAATATATATATAAATTATTAGCGTTCTGGTTTTGTTTCTCTAGACAACCCTGTCTACCATATTATTCTAAAAAGAATCTTTGGGAATTAAAAAAAAAAAAAAGAACTGTGTTTGTTGAGGCAACATGATTCATACTCAGAGAATGCTGTCTCGTGGTAGTCTTTAAATCTTGAACTGAAAGTTACATCTGAGGTCACATTTCAGCGAAATTGGCCACCACCAGAACTCTGAATATTAATCCTAATTATTGTGTTCCTTTTAAAAAAATTCACTTATAGGAGAGCAAATGGTAAACAATACATTAAAACGAAGATGAGAATGTAAGGAAGTAGGGCCATTAACTTAGTGGAAATGGAAGAACCAGCTCATACCCAAAATTAGGATTATAAGTAACAGTAGAAAAAGAATCCAGGGACATGCCTTCTACAGCAATACCGTCCATCATT